TAAAACATAGGTGAACATCTTTCTGGTATTCTCTACTTTCAACCAAGATCCCTCTGACATCAGCAATGAGATCACTCGTTCCACATCCTCTTCCGAATCTGGCTTGAATTTCTGGCAGTTTCCTGTCTATACAGTGCTGCAGCCACTTTTGAATGATGTTCAGCAAAATTTTACTTGCCTGTGATATTAATGATATCGTTCAATAGTTTTCACATTCAGTTGGATCACCTTTCTTGGGAATAAGAATAAATATGAATCTCTTCCAGTCAGTTGGCCAGGAAGCTGTCTTCCAAATGCCTTGGCATAGATGAGTGAGCATTTCCAGTGCTGCATCCGTTTGTTGAAACATCTCAATTGGTATTCCTTCAATTACTGGAGTTTTGTTTTACACCAATGCCTTCAGTGCAGCTTGGACTTCTTCAGTACCATCAGTTCCTGATCATATGCTACCTCCTGAAATGGTTGAACATCAACCAATTCTTTTTGGTATAGTGACTCTGTGTATTCTTTCCATCTCCTTTTAATGCTTCCTGTGTCCTTTAATATTTTCCCCATATAATCTTTTAATATTACATCTCGTGGTTGAATTTTTTCTTCAGTTCTTTCAGCTTGAGAAATACCAGGCATAGAGTTCTTCCCTTTTGGTTTTCTATATCTAGGTCTTTGCACATGTCTTTACTTGATCTTCTCGATCTGCCCTTGGAAATCTTCTGTTCAGTTATTTTACTTCATTTCTTTCTTTCACTTTAGCTACTCAACATTCAAGAGCAAGTTTCAGAGTCTCTTCTGACATCCATTTTGGTCTTTTCTTTCTTTCCTGACTTTTTAATGACCCCTTGCTTTCTTCATGGATGATGTCCTTGATGTCATTCCACAACTCGTCTCGTCTTTGGTCATTAGTGTTCAATGTGTCAAATCTATTCTTGAGACGGTCTCTAAATTCAGATGGGATACACTCAAGCTCATACTCTGGCTGTCGTGGACTTGTTCTAATTTTCTTCTGTTTCAACTTGAACTTGCATATGAGCAATTGATGGTCTGTTCCTCAGCTGGCCCTGCACCTTGTTCTGACTGATCATATAGACCTTTTTCATCATCTCTTTCCACAGATGTAGTTGATTTGATTTCTGTGTATTCCATCTGGCGAGGTCCACGTGTGTAGTTGCTGTTTATGTTGTTGAAAAAAAGTATTTGCAATGAAGAAGTCGTTGGTCTTGCAAAATTCTATCATGCGATCGCCGGCATTGTTTCTATCACCAAGGCCATATTTTCCAACTACCGATACTCTTCTTTGTTCTCAGCTTTCACATTCCAATCACCAATAATTATCAATGCATCCTGATTGCATGTTCCATCAATTTCAGTCTGCAGAAGTTGGTAAAAATCTTGAATTTCTTCATTTTTGACCTCAGTGGTTGGTGCATAAATTTGAATAATAGTAGTATTAACTGGTCTTCCTTGTAGGCATATGGATATTATCCTATCACTGTCAGGGACTCTCCAAGTGATATTCGTGTACAGCAAGGGTGAAGTACAATGTAAATTAATGAAAGGTTTCTTTTATGACTAAGCAGTCCTGGTGGTACAGTGGTTAAGAGCTCGACTGCTAACCAAAAAGGTCAGCAGTTCAAATTCACCAGCTGTTCCCTGGAGTAATTTTTACCCCAGACATTGTAATTTTTTTCTCTAGAAGTTTTACTTGGCTCTATTATAGCTTCCATAACTACGGTTTCCTCCACCTTCTTGAATATATGGAATATATATATGATAGTTGTTTAATGTTCTTATGTACTAATTCTATCACCTATGTCATTTTAGGGTCTTCTTCTTCTTTTTTTTTTACACACAACAGGTTAATATCTTTAATATATAACAAACTCATACAAACTTATCAGACCCCAGTAGATAGGGGCAATGGACTTTGATGATCCACAAAATAGGAAATACAGCTGCTTAACATGAAAAGATGTTCTGCTTTGCTAGAAATCAAATAAAATGCAAACGGAAACACAATACTATTCTTCATTATCAAATTAGCAAATCTTTAGCCAGATGATAGTAACCAGTACTGGCAAAATGGTGAGATGTACACATTCATCCTTGCTGATAGCAGTGGAAATTGATACCCACATTTCTGGAAACTGATATTTTGATATATAACAAGAGCCTCAAGAGTTTTTATACTCTTAATTCAATAATCCCACCTCTGGGAATCTATCCTAAGAAAATAACTTGACATTCGGAAAAAGCTTTACACACAAAGAAATTCATCTCTTTATAACAGTGAAAACTTAGCAACAGCACTGGGATCTAGTGCTGCTCTAACAGAAATACCATAAGTGGGTGGCTTTAACAAACAGAAATTTATTTTCTCACAGTTTTAGGAGGCTAGAAATCAGAATTCAGGGCACCAGCTCTAGAGGAAGGCTTTCTCTGTCATCTCTGGGGGAAGTTCCTTGTCTCCTTTCAACAACTGTGGGCCTGGTGTTCCTTGGAAGTCTCCGTGTGTCTTGGCATCAATTTTCCCCTGGGCCTAGGAAGGTCTCAGTATATGGATGCCAGGTCCAAAGGAAATGATCCACTCCTGAATCTTCTTTCTTGGTGGTAGTGAGGGCCCTCTTCCCTGGGCTTCAGCTTCACCCTACAGGCGCAATGGAACGGCAACTCTGCTTCTTCAACTTTGGGCTGACCTATTGTCCTGGTCCATCAAGTGGCAACCCCACTCTCTTGCCCTGGCAGGCCCCGTACTTCTGTCCCTTGGGCATGGCAGACTTACCCGCTCAGCTTTGGGCATCAGATCCGGCCACATCCCCCTGGCACTTGTGAATGGAAGCCTCACACTCCAGAACCGAGTTGGTGAAGATCTGACCCTGAAACATAGCAGGCTGTGGCCCCACCCTATGAGACTCAGTAGGCCATGTGTCATGGTTTGAATTGTATCCCCCCAAAATATCTGTAAACTTGACTAGGCCATGATTCCCAGTATTTTGTGAATTGTCCACTGTTTTGTCATCTGATGTCACTTTCCTATGTGTTGTAAATCCAGTCTCTGTGATCTGATGTGATGAGATGAGATTATCAGCAGTCATGTTAATGAGGCAGGACTCAATCCACAAGATTAGATAGTGTCTTAAACCAATCTCTTTTGAGATATAAAAGAGAGAAGTGAGCAGACAGCCAGGGGGACCTCATATCACCAAGAAAGTAGTGCCAGGAGCAAAGTGTGTCCTTTGGACCTGGGGTCCCTATGCTGAGCAGCTCCTAGACCCGGGAAGATTGATGACAAGGACCTTCCTCCAGAGCAGACAGAGAAAGCCTCCCCCTGGAGCTAGTGCCCTGAATTTGGATATCTAGCCTACTAGACTGTCACTTGTGATATTTCTGTTTTTGCAGCACTAGATATCTAAGACACCGAGCTTCCACCCGTTGAGACCCCAGAGATTGTGGCCCTACCCTTTGAGACCAAGGCGGCTCTGCCTCCTGTGCTCCTTGACTCTTCAGCTTCTGCTTCCTGGTTCCTTGGCCTCTCAGCCCCTCCACCCCATCGGGCCTCTTGGGCTGTCCCAGCCTCTGCCCTGCTCAGGCAAGTGTTGCAAAGCTCTTTAACCCTACTGATAAATGTCTAGAGGCACCCCACTCTGCCAGTAAGCCTCAGATGGAAGGTGATCAGCTCTCTTGCCCCTTGGGTCAGCAAGCTTAGGTCTACCAGTAAGTGTCTGGAGGCACCTCACTCTGCCAGCAAGCCTCCTGCCTGAAGGCACTCAGCTCTCTCCCTCTGTGGGTCAGCTCCCGCTCCGTCTCACTCTGGTCTCCTGGTTCTGCAGCCACTGTTTCTCTGCTGCTGCTGCTTCTTGCTGTCTGTGCCATCTCTCCAGTATTACAGCTCTTCACTCCCTTCTTAGCCCTCAGCAAAATTGCCTTTGATGTTCATAATTTCACCAATAGTCTCTTCAAGGCAATCTAGGCTTTTACTATTAGGCACCTTAAAACTCTTCCAGCCTCTACCCATTCACAGTTTCAAAACTGTTTCCACATTTTAGGTATCTGTTAGAGCAGCACCCTACTCCTGGCACCAAATTCTGTCTTAGTTATCTAGTGCTACTATAACAGAAATATCACAGGCGGATGGCTTTAACAAACAGAAGTTTGTTTTAGGAGGCTAGAAGTCCAAATTCAGGGTGCCAGCTCGAGGGGAAGTTTTCTGTCTCTGTCACCTCTGGGGGAAGGTCCTCATCACCAATCTTCCCCTGGGTCTAGGGGTTTCTCAGCACAGGGATACGCTCCACTCCCGGTTTTTCTTTTTTGGTGATAGGAGGTCTCTCCTCTCTGCTTGCTTCTCTCTCCTTTTATCAACTATAAGATAAAAGGTGTGAATCAGGTAAGGGTGGTGCTTCCCATCCTATCCTCACTAACATAACAGACAACTCACTCCCAGATGGGACCGTAACCACAGGCACAAAGGATAGGATTTACAATACATAATTACATCAGATCACAAAATGGAGGAAACCACACAATACAGGGAATGATGGCCTAGTCAAGTTGACATGAATTTTTTTGAGGGGGACACAATTCAATCCATGACAGGAGGCTAGAAGTCTGAATTCAGGGTGCAGGCTGTAGGGGAAGGCTTTGTTTCTCTGTTAGCTCTAGAGGAAGGTCCTTGTTTCTTTTAGCTTCTGCTCCCAGGCAATCTTCATGTGGCTTGGCATGTGTCTTCCCCATCTCTGCTTCTCTTGCTTGCTTGTTTAATCTCTTTTATATCTCAGAAGAGATTGAAGTTAAGATACACCCAACACTAATCCTGTCTTTAAATCACAGGCATAGAAGTGAGGATTTACAACACATATTTTGTGGGGACATAATTCAATACATAACACCATCTAGCCATTCCAAAATAAAATCAGTGATAACATAAGGGAAATGCCTGGGGTGTGTTAACAGAAAACAGCTACTCTAAATTACAGAAGGTAGTATCACAGCTATGGTAGAACAAAAAGAAAACTACGGAATGCTTCAGCAATTTGTATATCATCCTTGTGCAGGAGGCATGCTAATCTTTGTATCATTCCAATTTTAGTATATGCGCTGCTAAAGTGAACACTTCATTGGTTTTTCTTTTCTTTTCGCCTCATTTTAAGTCATAATTCCCTGATTCTTTGCATGTCTAAACTATCACCAAACCCACTGCTGTCAAGTTGATTCCTATGGACAGAGTAGAACTGTCCCATAGGGTTTCCAAGGAGTGGCTGGTGGATTCACTTCCCTTTTGGTTACCAGCTGAACTCATTTTTTAAAAATTTTTTAAATTTTATTTTATTGTACTTCAAGTGAAAGTTTACAATTCAAGTTAGTCTCTCATGCAAAAATATATACATATGTCGTTATGTGACCCTCTTCGTTCTCCTTGTACTGTGACAGAACATTCCTCCTTTCCACCCCTGATGTCCTGTGTTCATTCAACCAGCTCCTGACCCTCTCTGCCTTCTCAT